TTCATTTCATCTTTATCTAAATGAGTTTTGTTAAAGTACTCAAGCCATGAATTTATATCCATATCATTCTGCGCGTCAAAGGGAATTATACTTGTTTCAGGTTCAGCGCTAGCTGCCCTTAATGAATCATCAGGATCAGAGATGTTTTCCTTAGCCATTATTCTCTTAATAATACTTTCATAAATAAAACTATAATAATACTTTCATAAATAAAACTAACTCAAAATAATACTCTTTAAATTTTCCCAAAACGATATTAAAACCAAAATACATCCTTTAAATACCAAATTTAAAATACATTTATACCAAAATAATACTTTTTAAAATTTTCAAAATAAAAACACTATTATTAAATCAGTAATTATAATTCAATAGTAATAATATCATTTGCATCGCCAATCTTTTTACTAATTGCTTCTGTTTGACTTATTGTGACGAGAATACGAGTGATGAAATCGACACGAAAATACACATTTTTGTGCACTCTTGATTAGATTTTCGCAAAACACGATCAATCACCACACAAGCACAAAGCTCTCGAGAGCAACACAGAACGGCGTAGACGTAGGGAAAGATTTCCATCCTCAAAAGTAGGTCAACGGTAAGAGCACATTTGATGAACGACGAACTTTCGATGGAAACACAGATCACGCATCACAGGGGGCAGAAGGATGCTTCTCTGGACGTAAAATAATCTGCAGAATACCAGAATACAGGTAACAGAAGGATGATTCTCTTGAAGCAAGAACGCCTAGAGAAAAATGTAGAAACATAGAAGTCGCACAGCGGCAAATTCATCTAAAGTGCGTAACATTTTATCCGTATAATCCTTGGGGTATCTTCTTTTTTAGATAATCCCTTTGAAGGTGGTATCCTACCGGCTTTCTTTCTGAAATGTAATTTCTCATACATTATTTGTTTTGTGCAGCCGGGGCAACAGGAATGAGACAAATTTTGGAATATAAAGTGGTAGGTTTATTTTAGCATCCATCTCACAAGCGTTCTCCTCGTACCTTGAGCAAGCCCTACTTATACATATGTGTGCGTCACGAGGCTCTCCAATCAGCGATATTAATTGAAATCACGAGGTGACGCTATCTTCTCATCAGGAGTGTTCTTAAGGACTTTATGTAATATGACAGATTTATGAGTTTGGCGATTTGGCGGGCGCCAACAGGTTAATATATTTTATACTAAAGAAAGGATTTCGCCAAAATTTAGGAACAGGGATGCAATTTAGGTAGAGAAACGCCAACACATTATTAAGAAATATTATTAGAATTTAATTTAATCAATTGATTTAAAAATATCATTACATATATATTAAAAGTATAGTGAGAATGGTATAAACAGTAATAGAGTATGGAAGAATTTTAGTGGGGGATCTGTAGGTATGAAGGCAAAGAGAGAAGAGTCCAACACTCTCTAACCATGAACCTTTACCAATATAATTCTGTCAAGCAGTATATGACTGGAGGAATAAATTTTCTCATATTGGAGGAACAGATGACAGTTTATATTTCCTGTATTAAGTTACATCGCTCCAAAAAGTCTACTGGTTCTCTTTTCCGTGATCTTAAGCTCTGTACAGAAGTAATCAGTTTTGTTAGTTTCTGGTAGTTTTGGTACTGGATGCATCCAAATAAGATGAGCTTGTGCTTATTTTTTGGTTTCAGAAGATTATAAATTGTTAAGTATTCATCGCAGAATGGTTAACTGTATGGTAATAGAGGTCTGTTTAAAACCATTTTTGTGGAATGAAGCTCAGAATTATATAGTAATTGTAAGTACACTGCAGATGTAATGCAATCAGGGAATGTGATGTATTGTTGATGTGATGAGGGTGACACCTCACTTATCGTTTAACTTTTAAGAGATCTTTATGATATGACTGGTAGTGTTCAAAATATCTTAAAAGATTTAGGATACAGCAAGATGTGTAATCATTAGGATGCTGAATAGTTATCAAAACTGTATAACTGCTGTCTTATACATCAGATGGATTTCACTGTCGAAGGCAATACCTTCTCAGAGTGCATTCCTTCAGGTAATAAAACCAGGTGTCATAATTTAGAACATTAATCCAAGGCATCAATATGAAATGATTTTAAGAACTAACCATTTAGCTTACAAAGTGTTGGTCATTTTGCTCTTTGATTATTGTCTCATTTCTTTAACTTAATTAAAAACGTGTGTTCTCACATGTTGGCAGTGTCATATGCCTTTAAACAGGAGGTACTTGATCATTTGTCTTACAGTCCAGCTCTTTCCCCTGAAATTTTCATGCCTCCAACCTCTTCAAAAAAGTCTCTGAAGAAATGACAGTTCTTGTTGGAAGGTTATTCGAGGCTTTTTTACAAAGTAGATGGAAGAACTCTTGTGGAAGGGATATTCAACCTTTAACCATGGAAAAATTCTTAATGTCAGTTAAGATTCTATGTAAATGATATAAACCTATTTGATTATCCAGATTAATTGGAAACTTTTTAATAATACTTTGTATTTATATAAAACTTCTTAAATGTAAAAATTGGCATGTCAAAGTGTGTGATGTTATTTGCTGGTTATCTCTTGCTCTCTGGAGAACTATTCAGTAAAGGACAAATAAAAGAAAATAGTTTCTTACTATGTGTTACATGGATCAGTTGGTTTTACTGCTGATTAGTATCAGCAGGTAGTTAGTTCATCATGGATTTGGTTTGATGAATGGATAGGATGCTTGGTGTTTTCATATTTTTGCCTATAAACAACATGAATATGAGCTTAGGAGTTTCTCCATAAAGAAGCAGAAATTCTTTTCAGTAAACCACCTAATTTTTTTTCCCCCTAATGGAATTTTGATTTTATAACTAAGCAATTACATATGTTATCTTGTTGTCTAGTTTGAAAATGAAATGCTATTTTATAATTTTTTTAATAATTAACCAATATAAATATTGTAAAACTGAATACATTATCAACTTAAAGTCATTTTTTATACTGATGCATCTGAAACAACTTATTTATGTAGAAGATTTAAAATGGAATCTGAAAATGTACAGTATATATATGATGGAACTTTCATTTTTTGTGTGTCTTTTATGAAGAATTTTTTAGTTTTACTTTATTAAAATAAGTGTATATATATATTGCATATACTAAAAAATATGATCGCATTTAAATTAGCATGCAGTGTTAACAAAAATAGTTTTCACTCCAGAGGGTTGTAGAATGTGTGGTATTGGTCCAAATGAAATAAAATTTGAACCAAAGATAATTCAAATGATGTGCTTGACATTTATGAAATAAAACATTTTAGTGCAAAAATCGGCTGACAGGTAGCGCTATAACATAAATGCTATTTATTTGCATATATTTAAAATATGAAACATCATTTGCATTACAGCCCGTGCCTATTAGCATTATTTTTTGGATAAAAAGAAAGCAGTTTCTGCATGAACATTAGTTACTTCTCTGCACATTATGCCTATGTTGCAAAAAAAAAGGCGGTCCTGGTAAAATTGTTTTACCAGAACCAACAGAACAACTGTGCAGCTGTAAAAGAATTCTATCATATGAAACAGATATGAAGTGGTTCAGTGTCTCCATGTGTCCTATGCAAGATGATAAAGAAATTTGAAACAATTAGGCCAACCCGACAAAAGCGCAAAGAAGACAAAAGCAAGTCTAGTCTTCTAGTGACAAAAATGCGGCTACTGCGGTTGTTGAAGCTAGCAGTCAATAATCACATTGTAGTTTGAGTGGGCCATTTGTTTCCTGTGTATTGGATGCTGTATTTCACTGTACAAGAAATTTGACTGAGGATTTAAAATTTTTATCATTACAAAATCAAGCATGTGCACCTATTGCAAGATAGGGACTTGGAAGTTCTTAAAAACTTGTGCACTTCAGTTCTGTGCTCGAGTAATGATTGATTCACTTGGCCATGGAACATTCTGTAGACTGAATTCAGTGGGCAACTTAATACCCACAGTTATCGACTTTGGAACACACTATCTAGGAACAACCCTTGCATCCCTTGTGGGTTTACTGTTTACCATTGGACCGTATTTTTTAAATTGGAAATGGAATCTAAACCTGCCCTGTAACAGGACAACGGTATCGTAATATACTGAGGGATTTTATAATCCCACAATTTCAACGATGATGGCTGCTTTCAGGACATCATTTTCATACAGGATGGTGTACCTTCTCACATTTGATCATCGTGTAAAGACTATGCTAAGACAGCATTTCACAAATGAACAGGTGATCAGCTGTCGTTTTCTAACAGCATGGCATCCTCATTCGCCGGAATCGCCCCCCGTGACTTTTGGTTGTGGCATTTCCTGAAGGACAATATCTACCAGCATCTGTTCTAGATCTGAAAGACAGTATTCAGCATCATGTTCTTATATTCTCGCAGACTCACTCCTGTCAGCTGTGGAAAATATAGTTCTGTGATTAAAGTGCATTGTTGAACTTGAAGGGGAACATACTGAGCAGTTATAATGGTACTTTTTTATATTAACATTTATGAAGCAGATTGAATGTTTTATGTATATTACAGTGCCACCTATCGACAGATTTTTGTGCTGAAATTGTTTAATACATGTTAAGCACATCATTTGAATTATCCTTAGTTCAAATTTTATCTCATTTGATCCAATAGAACACATTCTGGAGCCTTCTGAAATGGGGAATCTTATTTCTTGCTAATTCTGTATATGGTAAAAGATGTGTAAACTAATTAAAATGTAGTAAAAGTATGTAATGTATGTTATCTCTTTTTTGGGGGATGAGAAGCTACCATTAAGGCATAGTTAGAGGAGGATATGTTAATAATTCTTCCTGAATTTTGTTCTGAATGGCTCAGTTTTTTCTCCCATCTTTTTTCCATACATAAGATAAATATCAGTCAGTTTCCTTTAGTTTTATATAAAGGCATTTATGTCACTGTACATGTATCCTTAAATGCTTTGACATAATAAATATTATGCAACATATATTTATATTTTTAGGTGAAGCTTCTGCTATTTTAGCAAAAGCTGATGCTAGAGCAAAGTCTCTTCAAGTTGTTGCTGAATCCTTACTAAGAAAGGTATTTTTATTCGATGCCAGTATTAAAAAACTTTGTAAATATTGTCATATTTTGATATTACTGAGGAAAATGTTATTGAAAGACAGGATTCTTCAATGCATAGAATCATGACTGATAAAACTGAAAACAAATTTCAGTACAAAGTTTAAAATCTGGATATTCAATACCCAAAATGATCTTGAATCTGGACTATCAGAAACCTTTTTTGAAGTTTTTATGTTTACATCTTTATTTTTTCAAAAAACATGGATGTTCCCAATTTTTAATTTTACTTCAGCATTACGACAATCTGGTGAATTGTTGTTTATTACCTTTTGCTTTCATTACTGCCTGACTGAACATAGCCGGAAAAATGACTCAAGCAGTGATGTTTAAACAAATTTTTAATATTAGTAATTGAATACTAAAGAATATGGTAATTTTATGTTGACATTAAGCTTGGTGATGATTACAGATTTCAGCTAACTCTGCTGCCAGCTGTTATGTTCATGAGTATAAATTAATAGAAATTTCTTTCCATATACAAAAGGTAGATCTGTAAATGATACTCATAGTGACAAGTATTGTATTTGATGCTTTTTGAATTGAGAATGACTGGATTGTTATTAAGTTAAACCCAAGACTGGTGCAGGAGCACTGGGTGGCATAATTTAGAGGCAAATATTTTATAATTTAGAGATCACCAAGCAGCAAAATTAAAGGATAGCAAAATCTTTAGAATTTAGAGAAGGCACTGGGATATAAAATTTAGGGGTGATAAAATTTTTAGAATTTACTTGAATAAGCCTTAAGTATGTTCGGGAAATAGTCGTAGGTGTATAATAAATAACTAAATTAATATGATTTTAACTTTATCAGCATGTAATAGAAGCAAGACAAAATCTAGTAGAACAACATGTCTGCCAATACATGGCCAATAGTGTGTAGTATATGCTAGCTAAGCTTTATGATGATGGACACAAATTTGAAGGTTTTCAGATATTACAAACAAAAAGAATTTTCCAATTAATGGAATTTGTGGAGAAGTAATAAATGAAGCTGATGTAACAGAAGTTCTTATTGTGATGACAGTGCCCCAATGAGCATTCAACTAACGGATGGCAGAATCGGGTTCTAAAGCCAGTTATTGTTACTGGACAGTGAAGAAAGAAAGAGGTTGTTGAGAATGAAAAAAATCCATTTAACAATTCAGTGGAAAATCTCAATGTGAAAATTACAAGGCTTAAACAAATGGAACTTTCTGATTAACAGGAAATTATGGCTATCTATAAAATTAAAAAGAAAGTATTAGCACAAAAAACGAAGCAAATTAAATAACTTACACTTAAAGAAATGCTTAATAAAGCAAACAAATAATGAGTTTTATGTAAATTTTTATTTCTTTAAGGTCATAAATACTTAATTATTTCATAAATAACTGTTTTGTATTATTAATTTTGTAATTTCTACATGTCATCTTGCAAGATTTAAGCAACTGATCTCGTAACCTGACTGTGGGACTTCTGTTTGCATAGTGGTCAGATTTTCGTTACATGTCTAATAAGTGTAATAAAACGGTCAGTTTAACAAGAGAATGTCAGACTGTATGGTGAGTGGTGTGGTTGGACTTAAATCTTTTCGATTTAAAATATGGCAACTTTAAATTCACCTTCCAATCACATGGAAACGAAAATTTCGTGAACTGTTAAGAGAATATGCATTTTTGCCATTGTTAGTCAGAGCATCAGATGTCCTAAGTTCTTGGTCATTGCTGGTCAACTGAAGTCTGTCACCATTCTTAGTCTATAAATACATTGTTGTCTCAGCTGTTGAGCCAAAAATCATGAAAAATTTCTATTCAAGATCTCTGCTTATTGAGACAATAACTCATGCACAATTATCTCTGCTAAAAATGGCAAATTTAGGCAAGCATTCTATTAAAGTGTCTTCACGTAATTTTTTGAATATGTCTAAAAGTATCTTTTTAGAAATATACCTGATACCGGTCTCTAGGAAAGAACTTTAAAATTTTTTACACAAAAAAAAAAAAAAAAAAAAAAAAACTTAATATTTATTTGTTTACTTTATTAAACATTTCTTTCAATGTAAGTTGTTTAAGTTGCTTCGTTTTATGTCATCATACTTCCTCTTTAATTCTATAAACAGACATAATTTCTTGTTCAGTTACAAAGATCCGCTGTTCAAGTCCCGTAATTGCTGTGCCGAGAATACCGACTAACTTGTCAATCGAAATTTTTTCGTTTTCACTAACCTCTCTGTCCCATTCTTCATGTCTTTATCCATTTTTTGCAGCAATTCCACTTTTTGTTTGTTGGACATCGAAACATACTTTCGTTTTGTAGATCCTTTGGAAGTTCCAGCATCGGAAATTCTATTTGACATAATCGAAAGTTCAAGTTTACTTTTATAAAATTGCTCTTACAGTCTGCAAAATATAATAAGCGGGATCCAATTCGAAGATTAAGGAACAATGCAATCATTAACATTAACTGAAATAGATAATTAGATAATTTTAGCTTACACCGTCCGTTATACATTAAACGCGCAGGTGAAAACGTATTCTGCACTTGCGCACACGCATATGCGCAGTAGTCAAGGTCTTATGCGCACGCACAAAACGCCTGTGCGCATGTGCCAACGCGGCGCATGCACAGAAAGTTTTTAGCTTTGAGGTCCGGATTATAGATCATTCCGGATTATGGGTGTCCGATTAACGACTTTTGACTGTAGTTTATTTCAGTCTCGTATATCTAAATCTGCTGGGAAATTTTGATGTCCTATAAGAACATGGAAGGTGTTAATTGTAGAAGGTCTTCAGAGTCATTTGAGATATAAGTAAGTAGTAGATGGTTTATTACAGCATCAGTATCGTATATCAAATATGTCCAATTATACGTGCAAAATATTTAATGCTACTTAATAAATTTTAAAGTGGATTTTATTCTCAAATTTGTTTTCTAGTTATTTTTATTAAATTATGTTTAATAAGAATGTATCTTTCTTACGAATCTATTTTATACTTAGTGTTCTTACAAAAGTGAAGTTCAGGCATAAGTTGATTGAATTGAATTGAATTTATTCAGCTCCCATTTAATTGTAATCCTTGTAATTTACTGAAGCTTGTCCTATGATGCTTGCAAGGAAATTCTTGGTAGTGCAGACTAGATGATTCTATCATATGCCCTGCCGAGCACCAGTGGGCAGAAATGAATTTCCAGGTGACGGGATTCAATGTTTTTTCATTAATTACCTTTTCGTATCAACTTTTCTCAGTGGTGTTGATGTAGCAATGGAATTTATTATCTAATCTGAGTAAACTACAGATGGCCGACTTCTTCAGCTATGGAACAAAGAAATGCTTGAAAGAAATATTCCATTACGTACAGATGTCGCCAGTTTTAGATGAACACATTAATACACATCACATGTAAAACAATATTATCCAGGCTTAATTTTTATTTTTGAGAATCGGAGGGCCATGTAGGTCTATGCTGGCAACTTTAAATGAGAACTCCAGAATGAAAATTTAGATTGCTTGACTGGTTCAGGTTGCATTTTATAACAGGCTTTGTATGGTCCTTAAAAGTCCTTAGGTTTTTGGAATCTATTTTTGGCCCTTAAAAGTCCTTAATTTTGGCCAAAATCTACAGAAGGTCCTTAATTTTAATCATGTGAAATTTCTGTCTTGTTTTTACGACTTCTATTTTGAGTGTGAATTATCATTTTGGGGGAATATTTTTGATGATTCAAAATATGATTATCTTTTGAATGTTTGAGTGTGAATTATCATTTTGGGGGAATATTTTTGATGATTCAAAATATGATTATCTTTTGAATGTGTTCATGGGTTATAATTTGTTCCTTTGCCTAATATAAAGGGCGGGATACTGGAGTTTCTGAGCAAGGAGTCAAACAAAGTATTTCAAAATTATTTCATTTTTTTTCTAATTAAGAGCTCTTAAACAACTTTTCGCTTTTGGGAATGTGAATTCTTTTATTTAACGGCTCAAAATTTGGAAACTTATCAACATTTTGGTGATTTTTAAGATATATTTCTATAGAAAATTTTTAATTCAAAGATTAGGAATTTTTCGAGGGAATTTTTTAAACATTATAACATTGATAAATTTAACAAAATAATGTTAGTATATTATATTGAAATTGCATTAAAATAAAACATTTTTAATTTTTTGCTGTCATATTATAAAGTGACATTATTTTTCATTTTGGTGACTCTTATACAGTACTCTGAATCTGAAAAATAAACAGGTAATAAATGCTATAAAGCACAGTTTACAAAACAGTGGATACCAACAGCGAAATAGATATGTAATTAATTAAAAATTTCTTCCTATTAATTTTTTAATGGTAACAATTTTTGTCATGTAATTGTCTCAATATTCAGAATATGCATCAGTTTTCTCTATAAAATTAATTTTACCACTAATTTTTTTTCAAAATATTTCTGGCCTTTTTTCTGTTACAGAATTGGTAATTTTTCTTTAAGATTTTAAACGTTGCAATTTGGAAAGTTTAGAAGGATTTGAAGCCAAGATTTGATGATCAACAATTCTAGAAGGCTCCAGAAAAATGTGACGAAATGAAAAATGTCTTCTTTGTATTAACACATAATAGATATATTTTACAGAAAGTTTGTGATGAATTTCTTACATTTTGGAGAATTTTTGGTTCACTAGTATGGAAAATATCAATAATGTTTTTAATCTTTTCGCATGGGCAGGCATTTAAAAATTTTTCTGTTAATAAACAGATGGAAAACTGACAATTTAAAAGATTCACGATATATGTCTCAATGGATCATATACAGGTTGGCACTAGGCATTTTCCCATGTGATGGAATCTCTGTGGATTGTAAATTCTGTTCCCAGTGCCTTCCTAAATTATGCTGCTTAGTCCTCTCCTAAAGTCTGCTCCCAGTTCCTGTCCTAAATTCTAAGTTTTGCTATTTCTAGATTTTGTTGCTCGGTATGTCACCAAATTCTAAAAATTCTGCCTCATCGGCTCTGAAACCAGCCCTTACCATATAACATTTCATATTTATTCTGAATGATCAGCTTTTTTTTTTATGTTCTAAATGCATCTGGTTTTTTGATTCCAAAAATTCTAAAGTGAAGAGGAAACTTATTGAAGAAAGAAACTGAATATATAAAGAAAAGTATTCTTCGAAGATGTATACAGTTATTATTAATCAAATTAACTAGTTGCTTATAATTTTAACCTTTCTTATACGTTCCCCTTTCCCTTTCCTCACCATAATGCAAATCGGATAGTTTTTAAACTGAGGTTTTTGGGATTGTAAGAAGGTGTTTCTGCCCTCCAATTGGATGTTGCCTTAGTTCCTGTCAGCTCTGATAATATGTAATTATTCATATTTGTGTTATTGTTGCTAGCATTTGAATTTGTTATGACGATAGAGTTACTGAGCCAGCTTAGACTAAAATTAAATTTTGTAGTCTTTATTACTAGTCCACAATTTTAGTTTGAATTTGACTGTTCCTGTTTAATTGCATCACCACAAGCTGGGGTTGATTTTTGTCAATATAAGAATGTGCCTGTGTGTTCCAAGTTCTTTTTGAATAAAAGGTTTATTTAAACCTGTATGTGACTTTGTGGTTACTTTCAGAAATAGCGATAATTTGCCTCATGTCTATCAGAGGTTTTGAACTATTTAACTTTTACCAGATCAAGTAAAACATTGTTAGGGTTAAGAGATCGGCAAGTTAGAATATAAAGCATGCAGAAACTAGTGAGAACATTGGTTTGTGTATTAAAGCAGATTTCTAATTGTTAGAAAAGATGTTTAAAAAGAAAAAAATTGATATAAATGAAGCCAAAATGTCTGGGAAGACTTCAAGTTAAAGACTTGTAAATATTTTGTGTGTTGTTGCTACAAAGCATAAATGTTTTGTAGCTTTTAATGTGCAATTATCCTAATACCACTTAAGAATTAATGTTATAAATTGCATGCATTTTAAACTGTGAAATGTTATTAGATTTTAATAGTGCTTTTTTAACAATGTTTTTTTTAAAAAAAATAACTTATCACCTCTACCGCATAAGTGGCTTATTGGAACCATAAAATATATTAACTGGGTTACAATCTCAGAAACTCTTTATGGAGCTACAACACTAACTGCGTCAGACGGACAGAGCACAACTAACTTTCAAAAATTGTCAACCATGCCTACATCAGGCTTTCAAGTTTGTTCTGCTCAACAGATCTTGCACTAGGCAAGCAACAGCACTGGCAACAGCCAATCTTCTGTTAACGAATCATGCTGATTATGATTTTATTTAACAAACACTAATGGCATAGGTTATTTTAACACCATTTAACAAAATCTACCTGCTATTTACTAAACCTCTAGATTAAGTATGTGGCAGAATGAGACATAAAAGAAAAAAAATCAACATATAGCTAACTGCTGGTAAAATGTAAATAAAATCTTCCTAATCTTCTTTCAAATATGTCCAATTATTATACATGTAAAATATTTAGTGCTACTTAATAAATTTTATAAAGTGGATTTTATTCTCAAATTTGTTTTATAGTTATGTTTATTAAGTTATGTTTAATAAGAATGCATCTTACTTACGGATCTATTTTATACTTATAGTGCTATTACAAAAGTGAAGTTCAGACATAAGTTAATTGAATTTAATTGAATTTATTCAGCTCCCATTTGCTGATAAATCCTTAATTTTTTTCATTAACGATCTTTAAAAGTACTTAATTCCCATGTGCAAAAACATATATGAACCCTGTAGAATTCAACAGATATTGGCAACAAGACTGTGTATGTACTGGAAAAAAAGAATTTCTTTGGTTTTGACTTACTGTCTGCTGTGACGAAAATGTGACTTTCAAGAAAGTCAAAAGGTTACCTTTAAAAAGCCATGCTTTCACATACTGTCACTAATTAATTTAAAAATTTTTAAGGATAGGGACAAAGACCAGAAATTCTTCAAGGGCACTCGAAAAAAGGGGTCAGATGTTCTGAAAGGATTTGTCAGATTAGAGCATTTTAAATCTGGTGAGGCCCACGTGAAATTTAGCTGCCTCTGCTGTGCTGCTACAAAGAATGTGGACAGTATTGAATGTTTCCTTGGAGAGAAAATGACCGTAAAATTTTTTTTTGGTGGTGGTTATTGTCGAGACAATTATTCTGTTGAATAATAAGCTCAAGCAAGATTTATAAACACATGATTAATGCGTATCTGTCAGGTTTTATAAAAAATTACGCAAGTTTTGTGATCTTGCAAAATTAATTTATGATAATTGCTATTTATTATAAAGGTACCAAGTGTTATGCCTGCTTGGCATTTTGTCACGAGATATGTATTTGAAATACTGTAATTTCAGGTAGAAAAGTCACTCTAGCATGTATGCTGCACACATGCTAATCAATTTAAAAAAAAATTAATTAGCTGTATAAGCTACACCACCATATATGCCACAGTAGCGAATTCCAAAACATGGCATTTTATAATCCTTTTTCAGTAATTCCATTCCTTTTGATATAATTACAATTGATAACATTTTATAACATCTACAAAATAACTATTAATAGTAATATAGAAATAAATAAAAAATAAACAAACATTGCCTTGAACTTGCCAAAGACGAATTCTGATTCCTAATAGATGTTATTTTTATGGGTTCAATAAACTTTTTATTACCATACTATGAAAAAGAACATATGTAACTTATATAGTCAAATAAAGTTTTATATTTAAAATAAACTACATTTATTTATACGAAATCTTAAAAATACGACTCTGTCAGAATTAAATAAGCTTAACAGATAACCATCAAGGTCATTTTCATCACTGTTGTGAATCATGTCTTTTGATGCCACCATCTTGATTTTCATCATCTTTTTCAATGATTTCAGATTTATTGAAAGCTGATGTGATTGTATCAGCTTGGACTGATTGCAACATGTTATCAACCCACAAGGCAGTCTTCTCATACGAAGCTTTTCTCATCTGTTGGTAATTTGTGAAGGAATGACGTTCACTTCACATACATTCCTCTTACTACTTTCATAGTTTGTGTTGGAAAATTCTATTGATGGGTAAGATCCAGTGGCTGTAATATTTTTGGAAGCCCTTGTGGTATCACTGAGATCAGTGCTAAGTTTTTTTTTTTTTTTTTTTTCCCCATTTTGCTTAGGATTTTACAGTTTCCACTAAACTGGATCTCACTGAATACACAATTCATTTTTCAGTAAATTTCTTTCAGCCAAAGTAACATCACTTCTTCGCACATCCATCCTTTTTTCATTGATGCAAATAATGATCCCCCTTTAGAGAAGTTTTCTTTTAAAAATTATCAAAGGGATTAAATTCATTCTATTGGTGGCACAACCCAAAACACAAGTAAAAGAGATCTTTCCATCCTGATTGTTGTTAACACAAAGTGTTTTTAACTATTGAATGAACAATTCTGCTCAGAACATTCAAAACTAATGACTCAGAACATTCAAAACTCAGAATAAAACTCAGAACATTCAAAACTAAACTTCATACATATTAATCATTTGCTCTCTGTTCAAATTTTGATGTGTACTTCTGGCAGACATTCAAGTTACTATTTAAATTTTCTCTTATCAAAACAACCTTTTTCTCTTTCGGCAATGTGAATTCTGTTCTGAATGTGAAAAAATTTGGCAACTTATATGTTGGCAGTTGCTTGTATACAAAAATTTTGATTTGGTGATTTATGAATTTCTTGAAGATTTTACCAATTATTATTTAAATAATGACAATATAATATGTATATAAAAAATGTTGAAATGCAAAATTTTTAGGAAAAATTTCACTCAGTGTATTATAGCATGTTTCTAACATTGCAAAATTATTGCATTTTTCAGAAAGGTAACAATGCAGCATCTTTACTTGTAGCAGAACAGTATGTGAGTGCATTCAGTAAGCTTGCAAAAACTGGAAACACATTAATTTTACCTTCAAATACAAATGATGTTTCATCCATGGTAGCTCAAGTATGTATTTAAATAAATTGTTTTTCCAAATGTTAAGTTTCCTTTAATTAATATTTTATTTTGTATTCTTTAAATATTTAGATAGAATTGAAAGCTTGCTTCTTAAAGAATAACTATTTTATAGATAATGAATATAATATACGTATAATGTTTAATGTGCACAGTAATGAATTTGTGCTCTTTGAGTTTTTTTAATCAAAAGCAGATTGCTATGTACACTGCGAAAAAAAATTCTGTATCTTACGTTCTACTGCGCCGAATGGCAAAATTCAAATTGCTTTTTTTATGTCTCAAAAGCACGACACAGGATATATATTAGATTTATATATAGCATTGTTCTATCATGGATATTTTGAGACGAAATTGGACTTTTTCTGGAATAGCATGCCAATTTTTTTACATATTTCGATTCTACAACTCAAATTATGCCAGACTGCCAAGTTTTGTAAAAATTGCACGAGTAGTTTTTACAAAATTAGCTCTCAAAATTTTAGCTCCTCAATGTTAATTGAATTTGGTGTATATTTATTATCTCTTTTTTATTGAGCTTTTTTTGATTTTTCCTTTCACATTTTCGAAATTTGTGTTCATTCAAAAAAATTAACCCATTTTTTTTTTATAATTTATTTTAAAATAAATTTTATAAATTTTCCGGGAAAAATTTTTGAATTGTAACCTATAAAATGTTTACCATCATCTTGAAGTAGATTTACTTTTAAGCATACCTGCTGTTACAACTCGAACGCGAAATGAGCGAAAGTTTCTCTTCAGCCGGTGGCAACGGGGAGTCGAAAAACAAACTTGGAAGAGAGCGGTCGCTCTGTTTCTCTTGATAGAATTTGATACGAAGGGGCGATAATCCCTATCTTTTGATTTGAAATTAATCTCGAATTATGTATATATTGTAATATGAAAGATGTGTGTAAATAAAAGTCATTAAGACTTAATTGAAGTAGTGATTTGAATCGAATATAGAAATCGAAAGCTCTCCCAAATAGAACTATAGATTGTAGAAATGACATATTTTAGTGGTGCCGAAACCCGGGACTTTTGGATTAGAATTTCGAAGATTAGCAGATGGATTACCTGTAAACAGGTAAGCAATTCCTTTTTCTTTGAAAATTTGGAAAAAAAACTGAGTTTCAATATTGTGATTAGTCAATTTTAAACATGGAAGCTTTAGACAAACTGAAGCAGAAACGTACGAATGAACGCAGTAGCATTACGAAATTAATTACAAAAATAGAAGCTTTATTATCAGAAAATATCGATAACACAAACATTGAGGAATTGCAGGAGATGAATGAAACAATTATCAAAAGAGAAAACACGTTGAAAATGTTGAATTCACAAATCGAAACTCAGTTAAAAGATGCCAAAGAATTTGAAAAAGATATTTCTGCAAGTGATAAATACAATGAACAAATTATGTCTGCAAAGTTTAGAATTAAAATAAGATTAAATAAATGTAACGAAAATTTGTCTGTGAAAAATGCATCAAATGCAAATTTTTTGAACACTTCTGTTTCTGAAATAAATGTATCATCATCGGCTAGGAAATTGCCAAAGTTAAATATTCCAAAATTCTCAGGAGATGCAGGAAAAATGGTTAGAATTTTTTAAGTTTTCAAGCTGCGATTGATCAGAACAAAGCGTTAATCAAGATTGAAAAATTCGTATACTTGAAATCATTATTGATAGGGCAAGCATATAATGTCGTTGAAGGATTTCAATTAACCGAACACAATTACAATTCGTGCTTAGAAGTTTTAAAAGAACGCTTTGGAAAACCAGAGAAAATTATAAAATCACATATGAATAATCTTTTGGACATAGAACCAGTTAAAAATATTTCTAACTTAAATGCACTAAGATTACACGACACTTGTGAAATAAACATTCAAAGCTTAAGTAATTTAGGAGTAACTTCAGGTTCGTACGGAGACTTGTTAAATCTGATATGATTGAAATTATTGCCTCACGTTTTGATTCTTGAATATCCCCGAAAGCGTGATCCAAAAGAGGAATCTGATGTTACAGGTTTAATTGCTTTTTTGAAAAACGAAATTGAATGCCGCGAACAAACGTACGCAGTTAACAAACCGGAACCGAAACTCGTTCCATTGAATGGAAAGAATAAACACTTTGACAAACACAAAAGTAATTATAAATACACAAACAATAAGTTTAACTCTAAAGTTAACCCCTCGTCGGCGGCAGAATTATTAGCTCCTGTAAAAGAAAACTGTATTTTTTGCAAAAATAACACACATAATAGTGAAAAGTGTAATATGAGTGTAAATGAAAAACGAAATGTTCTGCGATTACAAGCTCGATGTTATGTTTGTCTGGCTCAAGGTCATCGATTTTCTGATTGTTCTGAGAAGAACTCTTGTGTATACTGCCACAAAAAACATAATGCAACCCTTTGTTACAAAAATGAGAAAAAACCCAAAGCATCGCAATCAAAAGGAGTAGAAAATTCAGCGTGCAATCACATTAGCATTGAAAAAATATTTTTACAGACGGCAACAGTAGAACTTAAAGGTAGGTCACGCAATAAATTAGTTCATTGTTTATTTGACAGCGCTAGTCAATGCTCGTATATTCAGAAAGGTCTGTCTAAACAACTGGGATTAAAAGTCGTGGGAAGGGAAGAAATAATGATTTATACTTTCGGATCTTAAGTGCCTACCAAACAGAACTGTGCGCGAGTAGAAGTAAAAATAAAAAACATTTTCGATAACCAGAAATTAATTATTCAGGTTTTAGAGACTGATGAAATATCGAGTGCTGAGCTAGAATATCCTCCGGAAAATATTTGGGAGTTGTTGAAAGATAGGGGGAATAATTTTAGCGGATGTTGATCACGAATCTTTAGATAACAACAACGTGTCTTTACTCATTGGAGCTGATAATTATTGGAAATTAGTAAAAGACAAAATTGAATGTTTGAACTCATCATTAGTTACAATGGAAACCAAAAATGGGTTGGATTTTAATGGGAAAACTAGTCTGAATCGTATTGAAGATGGGGAAAATGTAAGCTAATGCCGTCGCAGTGACTTCTTTATTAATTCACACATCGAAGATTGAAATTTGTGGAAATTAGATTTATTGGGAATTCGAGACCCTGTTGAAACAAAATGTAGAAAGAAAATGGAAATTGCTGGATTGAATCATTTTAACGAAACTGTTACCTTTAAAGAGGGAAGATATGAGGTTCAGTTGCCTTGGGTAATAGAAAAGGACTGTTTAAGTCAAAATTTCGATATTGCTAGACAGCGTCTAAACGGTACGACACACCGGTTGATACAAAAGGGCAAATTCAAGGATTATGAAAATGTTTTCACAGATTGGTTAAATGAGGTTAAATTGTAAGATTGGTAAAATTATAGAGGAAGTTCCTGAACACGAAATGAATAATCAGTGCCACTATTTACCACATAAAGGGGTATTCAAAGAAACTTCGACCACGAAATTGCGACCGGTTTTTGATGCTTCATGTAAAGATAAAAAATTCGCGGTCACTTAATGATTGTCTTGAAAAGGGTCCAAATTTGCTGGAACAAACTATTCCTATAATTTTAAGATTTCGCAAGAATAGAATAGGAATTATTTCAGACATAAGAAAGGCTTTTTTGCAAATGTCAGTGAATAAGAGTGATCGTGATTTCTTATGATTTTTATGGTGGAAAGACTTTGACAAGAAGGAACTTAGAGTTTTTAGACATAAAGGCGTTGTTTTTGGATTGAATTGCAGTCCCTTTTTATTGGTTGCTCTATTAAGCCATCACATTGATCTAAATTCGTCTAAATATCCTGAAACAGCGGAAAATTTAAAAGAATCATTCTACGTAGATAATTGCATCACATCTGTTCCTGATGAAGAAACACTTATGCGATTCATTGAGGAATCGAAACAGATATTAGATTCTGCGTCATTCGATCTGATAGGGTGGGAGTGCACTTCTCTTTTTTGAAATCTGAGGACAGTATAGAACCTACTCCTGTATTGGGAATTTTATGGGATAAGGAAGATGATAGCCTTTTCTGTGAGGTGAAGACTGATACTTACAAACCAGTGAATCTTACTAGAAGAAATATATTGTCTGCGGTACATCGCTTTTCTCTGCCCTATAACGCTAACACCTAAACTACCCATACAAAAGACGTGGTTAAAAAATTGGGTGGGATGCAAATATACCCGAAGATTTAGGAAAAGAGTTCTATTTGTGGATTGATGATTTGTCTCTTTTATCCAGTATTAGAATTCCAAGGGCTTTAGATATAAATGGAAATGAAAGTCTTAGTCTTCATACGTTCTGTGACGCAAGTAAACAAGCCTATGGATGTGTGATTTATTTAAGAAAGGAAACAAGTGAAAATGTATCGGTGTATTTTCTTCTAGCTAAAAGTAGAGTGAGTCCATTAAGAAAAATGACCATAAATCGTCTAGAATTATTATCCTGCTGTATAGGAGTCAGACTCGCAGCTCTTGCTTTACAAACACTCAAATTAGACAACGTTCCAAGGAACTATTGGACAGATTCGAGTACTGCACTTTCTTGGATCCAAAGAAATGACCATTGGGCGCCATTTGTCGCAAATAGAGTAAAAGAGATACGAAAATTGTCATCGGAATCTGAATGGCGTCACATTCCAGGAAATTCGAATCCAGCAGATATACCATCCGAGGGTGTTCGATTAAGAGTTTTGTGAAATCTCGCTGGTGGCAAGGGCCAGAATGGCTTATGAAGAACGATGAAGAGTGGCCAACTAGTGAAGTGATTACTAATGAAGAAGAAATTATGAGAAAGAAAAGCGAAAGAACATTATTTCGACTTTGGCTAATATCACCGCTGAAAAATGGTATCTGATTTACTTTTCAAGTTACTTTAAAATTGTGAGAATGATTTCTTGGATTCTAAGATTCATAAATAATTGTAGACATGGAGGAAGAAATTATGGCAAAACCCTGAGTGTTGAAGAATTGGACA